GGCCATTTTACGGAAGAGGAAGCTGAGGCCGAGAGAGGAGGCAGTCACCCAGCAAGTAGGTGGCGAAGCTAGGTCTCAAGTCTCATCTCATAAATTCAAGACCAATGCTTTCTTTCTTTCTTTCTTTTTTTTTCCCCTCCTCCTCCTCTCGGAAACAAATACCCCAGGCTCAGCGTTCTCGCTTCTGCCTTCCATCCGTGGGGAACCGCAGAAATACCGGAAAGGCAAAGCAAGCCCCTCCGTACAAATCCAAATAGGGCCAGAGCTAACACCTGTGCTCCCAGCGCCTGCCGGGCCAGGCGCGGGGTCTGAACCGGTTGCAAACGCTGGGGAGTTCACTTCGAGAGAATGCGGGGCCGGGTGGCGACGCTAGAGACCACTGTTTCCCGGGCCGCTGTGCGTGCAGGAAGGGTGGCGCTGCTGCCCCACAGCATCTTGGGCTGCACAGGTCCGGAGTTCCCTCTGCCGAGCGCGCAAAGCTCCCAGACACACCACCCTTCTGGACCACACCTCAAAACTCATCTCCTTGGAGCGCTGGGACTTTGAAGGCGCAGTTCTGACTCCAGCGTATTTCCAGGAAGAAAATATAAACCCAGATTAAGGAAACAATGCCTCCAGGGTCATCCACCCGGTGATGCTAGGTCTAGGGCTAGAACCCACGTGTCCGGATCCCAGACGGGCCTCCTCCCACCCACAACGGGGGATGCGTGTGGGGAAAGTGTGGGCGGAGGAGTCAGTGGAGGATTAGGAGACTGGCCGGATGCGGCAACGGTGTAAGCCCCTCGAAGAGTCCCAGATGTAACTAATCCGCACGTCAGATGTCAGTGGGTAAAGAGAGAACCCATGAAAAATCGAGATGTGCGCGTTAACCTTTACCTTCCTCCTAGTCTGGAAAGTTGTCCCAGCTCCTTCGGTGATCACCGCTCTTCCTTTCGCGGAAGCCTTGGGACTGCTTGGCTTGGATCCCGGCTGAGGAGTGTGTGGGACCTTCTGGGCTCTAGAAGGATAGAGGAGAAGGAATGAGTAAATAGCCTCTCCTAAAGTTCCACATATTTTTCTGGCAAAATTTTACGCCCCTCGATAGGGCCAATTAAATGCAATAAAACCTTGCATGGAACCCCTCTTCCTAGCAAAGCGTCGCCAACAATTGCCTAGGGGTAAACCAAATACGCCTGAGATAATTACCCTAAGCCCGGGGCAATGATTTGCCTGCCAGCGTCCTCAGCGCCAGCCAATATTTGGATAGTGTAGTGGGTGTGTGTGTGTTTTTAAATTACACGCGGAAACTTGAAACCGACTGGTTGGTGCCAGGGTGGTTACATGATCTGTTTTTCTTGAACAGAGGTCTGCAGGCAGCTGGAGCGCTCAAGTACCGGCCGCCGCCAGTGTTGCTGAGCGCCTGCAAAACTGACCGGAATGAAATCAGCCTCCAGGGACTGAGCGGAGAGGGAGCGAGCGCCACCCAACGCGGCCTGGGTTCAGTGGCCCGGCACGTCGCCACTCCGGGGATTCCCCCAGAATACTCCGCGGCAATGGCGTGGGACCCTTTCCAAAATGGACAGGCGTCGGGCCCTTTGGGTCTACACTCTCCTCCCACAACTGAGGCCTGGACCGCCGGGCTGGCTGGGACTCCAGGGTCAAGAAACACTTCCTGCTCTCGGCAAGTGCACCTGGAACGAGGAAGCATGAATCTTGGGCTCCTCGATCTACCGTCGTGGCCCTGTTTTGATCCAAGTTGTGCGGTGGCTCTCCGACCCCAAAGGCGCGGCCCCCGTCGGTGCTGAGACCGAGGTGGCAGCAGCGGGTCTGTAGGCTGCAACGTGCTCACCTGTGAGCGCCCAGCTCACAGCTTTATAGTGTCCAGGCTGTGAGTACTTAGGCTTACTCCACGCGCCCTTGAAGGGTCCCTCCCCTCCCTCTCTCCCCAGACACCACAAAGCCCACTTGCCCGACGGGAACATCCCTGAACTGCTCCGGAGGAGGAGGCATTGCTTTTCCGGAAGCCTGTGGAAAAGATACTCTCGCAAGGTGTCAACAGATGTCTTTGACCTCTCGGCGTGCGGCGCCAGGGCAAGAAAGATCCTTAGGGCGCTCAGCACTCCAAGCTCCCACCGGCGGCTCCTGGGCCTGGACCCGCTTTTTTCGCACCACATCTGTCAAGAGAGAAGGCTATTCCCGACCTCAGTGGGTTCTAGTTGTCACTGTAACTGTGGGAGTCTTCGGAATTCCTCCATGACATGGCGAGGTTAGGAGGCTGTCTGCTGCTCGGTTGCTTAAACTGCCTAAGCGGGCCAAACATACCTTCCCCACCCCAACCACTCCAAGAAAAACAAAAACAAAACAAAAACTCCATTGGCAGAAGGAACGTCCCCTGCCAGGGTGAAGGCGAAAGCGTCCAACTCTAAAAGGGTCTCCTTCACTTAGGACAGGCCAAGAAGCTGCGTCCTACCCCCCACCCCACCCCCACCCGGGACCCTCTTGCACACTACCTTAACCGTTTCTACCTATTCTAAAATAGCTGCTGGCCTAAGACAAACTGGCCAAATAGCACTAGCTAGAAAGCTAGTTCCTGACTAAAGAAGAAAGTTATGAATCTGCCTCACTCACTGCACTCCATGGACCTGAAGGGCACAAAGCTTCTCTTCTGGCTCGCGGAAAGTCTTGAGCTAAAAACATGCGACCTGGTGACACCAAGGTTGAAGGGTAAGAGGTAGTCTCCCAAGCAGTCTGGGCCAACCCCATTCTGCTTTCAGATTCAGATAAGAAGAAGAAGTTAAAAACCGAGTAAGCCATAGTCCCTAATAGCTGTTTTCTCCTCAACTCGCGAAATTGCAAGGCACCCGTGAAATTTCCAACTTTAGACACCTCATTTTACAAATAATGAAATTGAAGCCCAAGGCACTGGAAGAGAGGGCGGTTTTTGTTTTGTTTTGTTCTTTTGTTTGTTTGTTGTTTTCCCCCCTAAACTCTGCTTCTCCTCCCAGCCACAAGGGCATCGGCAGCAAAAATCAGAATATAACTGGGGGTTCTCGCTGCGTTCAGCTGGGATTCGCTTCTGGGTGTGCGGATGAGTGCGGAGCAGGAACCTGCTTCTCGGACCACAGCAAGCACCGGGGCCTCAGCGCTTTGGCTCATCCACTTTTTCTTCGTAGAGGTCACCCTAGGGCCCTGTGAATTAATTATTTTTACCTCCTATTGGAAGATAGTTATCTCCCTTCCCTCGACGTGCTAAGAATAGCAAAGGCTTGGTTCCGGCACACCCAGGTGGTGGGACCTCTGAGCTACAAACTCCTCCCTTTGGCCCAGCTCAGACGTCACCACCTCAGAGAAATGCCTCACCCTGTCCCAGCCACCCGCTCTTGAGATTCGCGGTGGAGCCTCCATCAACCAATCCCTTAGTACCTACACTAATTTCCTGTTTACTGTAAGCTCTCCCTCTAGGGCGCGCGCGGTCCTGGAGCGCTGGGAGCTGTCTAGTGCTTCCTCGTACCCGGCCCCGTCAATGGGCCTGACATACAGTTGGTGCACTATAAAGTTGTGATGAAGTTAGTATTTGACAAAAATGTCCCTGGCTCTCCTCCCCAAGGGCTTTTTCTTCCAGCCTTCCAGGTGTTGGGATTTCCAGCAGAGAAGAGGCTCTGAGGTCACGATTCTCTGAACTTGGCCCAGAGTGGCTAGCCCAGGAGGAAGGTAGTATAAGTAGAGAGCAGCACAGGGCTGGTAGATGGGAAGAGTTAAAGGGCGGGAAGAAGCAGGAGAGAAGGGAAAAGGCAGGGTCCAGTGTCCCTCGGCCGTGCGTCGCGACCCGGGTAGGGTGCAGCGGCGGGGACCGCATCCGGCGCTGCGCCCCCCATCCTCCGCTAACCGCTTGCGCTCCCCGCCCCACTCGGCGACGGATGGGAGCCGCGAGCGGGCGGTGAATGCTCGGGGTGGGGGCGCCCGAACTAGGGCAGAAGTGGGGGCGGAGGCGAAGCACCTCTCCTTCTTGCCCCTTCTTCTGCGAGAGACGCGGCGGCGGCGCGTAGTCCCTCAGCCTCGGTCATGTGATAGTCTCGAAGCGTGAGCTGCGGGGGTCTCGGCGTCTCGGGGACCATTACAAAACGCAGCCAGGAGAGCGCGTCTCTGCCACAGCCGCCGCCGCCGCCTCTCCAGCTCCAGACGGGCCCGGGAGAGCGGCGGCAGCTGCGGCGCGGATCGCTGAGCCGGCCTCCGCCGGTCTCTTATCCTCCCGGGGTTCGCAGACGCCCCTCAGGCCCGCGGAGCGCGCCCTGCGCCCCCGCCCCTCCTCAGAGCCTGCAGGCGCCGCTGCAGAAACCGCCAAACTTTTCCCCTCAAGCGACCGTCTACATCTCTGTCCCCGGCTCCGCCGCGAGCCTCCGGAGAAAAGGGACACGCAGGCTGCCAAGGAGCCGGGCTTCCTTCTCCTTACCTCGCCTCTACCCTCCAGGAAAACGGAACGCCAGAGGACACTAAGTGACGGGTCAGGGGGCAGCTTTCTGGGCGCGTAGGCGTCGCCACCCCCGGCCTCCAGGACAGCGAGTGCCAATTCGGATTTAAAGGGCCAGAGTCCTGGCTGTCCAGCCCTTCCTCCCAGCCCGCTTGGCCTGCGCTTCCCTCGGACCGAGAAAAAACAAGGAGGAGCCCGGGAGGGAACACGGCGCCTCCGCGCTCTTCCAACGCCAGATCCAGCGCTCAGTCTCTGGCCACCCGCGGGAAGACGCCGCGAGGGTGGCGGAGAAGCTGGCGCTCCAGCCTGCGACTGTGCTCGCCGGTCGGCGACCGTCGAGGCCAGAAGTTGTGAGCGAAGAGCTAAACTGGCCCAAGAGGCCGATCGCGGAGACCCCAGGCAGCTGAGAGAAGGCGGGAGACAAACGGCAAGAGGGTCTAGGGGGAGACAGAGACGAGTGGCGGGGCTGGGCGGGAGGAGCAGGGATTAGTGGAGACTACCGGGCCTCGGGAGAGGGCTGCGGAGCCAGAGGGCGGTGGAGGCGCCAGGAGCGATGCCGCGGCCGGGCAAGAGTTCGTACAGCGACCAAAAGCCGCCCTACTCATACATCTCGCTGACCGCCATGGCCATCCAGCACTCGGCCGAGAAGATGCTGCCGCTGAGCGACATCTACAAGTTCATCATGGAGCGCTTCCCCTACTACCGCGAGCACACGCAGCGTTGGCAGAACAGCCTGCGCCACAACCTCTCCTTCAACGATTGCTTCATCAAGATCCCGCGGCGGCCCGACCAGCCCGGCAAGGGCAGCTTCTGGGCGCTGCATCCGGACTGCGGCGACATGTTCGAGAATGGCAGCTTCCTGAGGCGCCGAAAGCGCTTCAAGGTGCTGCGCGCGGACCACACTCACCTGCACGCGGGAAGCGCCAAGGGCTCGCCAGGCGCGGGGCCCGGAGGGCACCTGCACCCTCATCACCCGCACCCCCCGCACCACCACCACCACCATCACGCTGCGGCGCACCACCACCACCACCACCCCCCGCCCCAGCCGCCGCCGCCGCCGCCGCACGTGGTGCATTATTTCCACCAGCAGCCTCCGCCGCACCTCGCGTCGCAGCCCCCGCAGCCGCCCGCCCAGCAGCCGCAGCAGCAGGCTCACCCCGGCAAGATTCAGGAGGCGGCGGCCGTGGCGGCGGCGGCGGCCGTGGCGGCGGCGGCCGTGGGCAGCGTGGGGCGCCTGTCGCAGCTCCCGCCCTACGGGCTGGGCCCGGCCGCGTCCACGTCGGGCTTCAAGCACCCGTTCGCCATCGAGAACATCATCGGCCGTGACTACAAGGGCGTGCTGCAGGCCGGCGGGCTGCCCTTGGCCTCGGTCATGCACCACCTGGGCTATCCCGTGCCGGGCCAGCTGGGCAATGTCGTTGGCTCCGTGTGGCCGCACGTCGGGGTCGTGGACTCGGTGGCCGCGGCCGCCGCAGCCGCTGCTGCCGCAGGGGTGCCTGTGGGCCCGGATTACGGGGCTTTCGGGGTGCCGGTCAAGGCCCTGTGCCACTCTGCGAGCCAGGGCCTGCCTGCGGTGCCGGTGCCCATCAAGCCGACTCCGGCGCTGCCGCCGGTAGCTGCGCTGCCGCCAGCGCTCCCGGTACCCGCGGCCGCACAGCAGCCGCCCGCCCCGTCCGCCGTGTGCCCGGCGGCCTCCGCCTCGCCCGTAGCCTCCCTCCGGGAGCCCCCCGCCGCGAGCGCAGCCGAGAGCAAGGGGGGCTCCCTGCACTCGGTGCTAGTGCACTCCTAAAGCGCCCGGCGCGCCCGGTGCGGAGAGACGGCTGGTCCCCGGACCTCGGGACGGGGAGAGAGAGCTCCCCGACTGGGCCGGCCTGAGCCCCCGTCTTTGCGGGGAAGGTATTTGAACAGACAAACACGAAAGTGGATTCTCCAGTTGTCTGAATAAATATAACACTTCTGGTGTCTGTGTTTATACTGTGTTGTACAATCAGATTAATGAAAGTCCATTTTCAGGTAAGAGTTTCTATTGTAATTAATATTATAAATCAATAAGTTATGGGGGAGGGACGAAGGAGCTTGGGAAAGCCTCATTAGCAGGCAAATTGGAAATGGGTGTCCACTCATTCTTGGGACCAGGAGCTGTCGCATCGAAACATCGGGGAGAAATGCAACAGAGAGTGACGCTGAAGTAGACTTCAGCCACCAAGTTTCTCTCCGTTGGTCTCGTACCGGGACAGCTGCCTCTCGTGGAACGTTCCAGAGAAAACAGCTATTCATTAAGGATATCTCGTTTTCGTTAAGAAGGAAAAGAGGGAGGGTTTGATACCTTTATTTTCCTGGTCAGGGAAATGGGCAGGGAAACGGTATTATGAATAAAGTCGCTTGAGGGGGGAGTGGGAACACCACGAAGGATCTTGGGAAACACTTAAATTTCCTGGCTCTGACCCAGGGGTCGAGAATGACAGGAGAAAAGCTAAAGCAATGAGTTTGCACAAAAGAGAATGGCAGCAGCAGCTTAAAGAGCAAAGCCCCAGATTCTAAAAGTAAATTTCGGGAACCACAACCAAAGGGACAATAAAAGGCGTCTTTCTACCTGCAATTCGTTTGTGTATCAATCGGATGGAACCGTTTAGAAGCCCCCAAATAATATGAATTCTCACGATCTGTTCCATTTGGTATGTGAAAGTGGGGGGGGGGGGGGGAGAATTACTTGCATCGCGGGATTTTGTCCCCTCATTCATGAATGCAAGAAAACCCTGCCACATCACCGGACAGTGTTGCTCTTAAGGAGTTTTTTGTGGTCTTTGCCTTCCGGTCCCCCCGAGACAGATGCGAGAGGATGACCCGGCCACCTTTGCACGCTGCCGTCAACGTGAGTGGGAAAGAAACTTGGCTTGCCGCTGTTGCTCCTTCCCCCTTTCTGAGCCCCAGGAATAGCACTTTACTTTCAACAAACTTTCGGGAACGGAGGGGGGCGGGTAGGGAGGAGGCAGCGTCTCTTCTCCTTTAAGTCGCCTCTGGTTTGTGTCCGCCGTGTTCGGGTTGTGATTTTGTGACAAGTTCATGTCTGCTAGTGTTGTACAAGGTGTTTTCCATTAAAGCTTCTCTCTGGATATTCCGGTGCGGGTGTGAAGGTGCTTCGCTTCTCAAGAAACCAGACCGCGGTGTGAGGGCCCACTGCGCAGTCAGAGGACTTGGCAAACCCTCCCGTCCCCTTTATTTCTTAACATCAGCGCTTCAAAGGGGTGAGTTCACTGGCCAGCCACCAGCAGGGATACGTTTCCTCCACCGCTCCTTCTATCGGTTGGCGCATTTATCTGCTATACTAACTGAGCCCTAGTCCACCCCAGAGCTAGAAACTGAATCGGTCAAAGGCGAGGGGGGCGGGAGGGTAGCAATGTTGTTCCTACATGAGGTTCGCATCAATACACGATCACCACCACCCAACACGAGTTTCCCTTTCCTGAGGTCTTCGAGGCAGCCTGCGACCGGGAACTCGGTCCCAGTTGCGCCCCCTTAAACCTGAGTGGCTGGCGCCTGGGTGCTGCCACAGCCTTCGTAGCCACTTTAACGAAGAGGTCGGGCCCCGTTTCGGAGGCCTGGGGACCTGTTGCGCGCAGGCGCCGTGCGAGCTGGGCTTCGGGGATGGCGCCAGCTGGAGGCCCTGGGCGGCAGAGTGCTAGGCCCTCGAGGGCCCGCGGCCCTGCAGCCCGAGCTCCCCGAAAGGACCCTGCAGGCTGCAGCAACTGCGGGGCTGCGAGGGGAGCTGGCGAGGTGGCCCAGCCTGGTGCGGGGGACCCCGCTGGGGCCAGGGGAACCGCAGCCCAGCCTCTGCTCTCCACCGACGAACAGGGCTCCATCTTGAACCAGCTTCCCTCTGCCCAGCTAGATACCATGGATATAACTCCTCTAACCTTTCCTCAGAAGAAAGTGAAGGGCCAAAAAAATGACATGCGCGTGGTAATGACACTGAGGGGGTTTGGGGTTGCTTCTTCAAGATAGATGTTTCCATGCCTCCCTGACTTACAACTCCCCCTTGCAGCGTGCAGCTAAGTCCTGGCCATACCTGGGAAACACGTCTCTGTTTAGGCCACTACCTCACTGGGGGCTCAGACAATTCTAGTGTATCCTCTTTTGTCAGTTTGAGACTCTGCAAGGTTTTCCTCTCCACTAGTTTGATGTTGTTGAAAGACAAAAAAAAAAAAAAAAAGAAGGGGAGACACTGACATGGAGGTCACGGACTTGGGGGGGGGGGCTTGAGGGGAGCTTCTTTGTCCACCTCTCTGGGTGAGGTGGTGCCTGGAAACCCTGGGTGGAAGCCCTGGGTGGGGCCCCTGATTTGGAGGTGGGGCCTGAAGAAGGAGGTCCTGGATTCCAGGAGTTTCTTCAAAAAAAACATCCTCCTTCCTCCTCCACCTGTCTGAAAGAGCCGGTGAACTTTATAGCAATGCCTGCAGTCCCACTTCTGGGAAAGAGGCACAGCCCAAAGTGACGTTTGGCAGGTGGAGGGCTGGCCTAAGTGCCAGCCTCTCCTGAGGAGAGAGAAGCCTGTGGGCCACGCCTCAGAGAATGAATAATCAGCCCTCACTGGTTTCCTGAGCCCTCAGCGCCCAGTCCTACAGCTGCACGCCCCTGTGGCACCCCCTCTGCCTCTGTGGGAGAAACATGGTTGCTTTGTTTTTACTGTAAGGAGAGAAAGGAGACTAGAAAGCAATATGAGCTTAGAAATGATTCCATTCAGGTTTTCTTCCAGCAGGAGACCCTGGTACTCAAAGAAAGCCAGGCTCGGCATTGAGACTGGAGAATATGGGGATTCATGTAAATAAACATGGGGGAAGAGCTTTCTGCCATAGCTCTGATCCCAGGGGAGGTCCCAATTAAAGCCCTGGCCTCTGACTGCCCTGAAGACCTTTCCTAACTAAGATGGGACCTGCAGTCTAACTGCGCCTGTATTGTCAGGAGCCAAGCAGAGAGTAGGCGGGATTATTCTGGGCAGACATCTGAGACAGCAGGACTGGGAGGACCCCTGGCCCAGGCTCTCTGCTGGACCAGGATCAGGTCTTCATACCCATGTGTCAAAAAACACTCATTCAAAGACACTGAGCCAGATTCAGTGCTTATTTTAAATGTTTAAATAGGGTTCAAACCATTAAAAGAAAAGTATAGTTCTGGTAATAATCTAAGTATATGGAGAACTGCTAAAGATAATAAGAATAATAAGCTGATGGTGATATTTTGGTAACCCTCTCAACTGACTATGTGATCCCATATGATCTCACAGGTATTCTCTCTGTAGCTACATGTTGGAGGGCAGGGAAAGTAAGTTCTGGACCTAAGTGAGATGGAAGTAAAGGCACTTATATATTTATGACCATCTTCATTCACTGGTTTAATAAAATCATTCTGGGTATGCTAAGTACTGGTAGAGATATAAAATTACGCTGCTGGTTTCCAGGATGATAGAAGGAAACTAGCTGCTTAGCCTATCTCCTGCTACACTGAATGTACAGACCCTAAGAAAGATGGGGAGGAGAAAGGAGAAAGGTTTTAGTGTGGGAATCCTTAAAAGTAGAAGAAAAACAACTTGGGATAACCAATTAGATTATATGTCCTTGAGAAGCTGAGACAAGAGCCAAAGGCCAAGGGAGGGCGAAGCTATGTTAGCTGTGGTCCGTAGGAGGACAGATTCTCCTGCAAAGGCCAGGATAGGCACATTTGGCATCTGGCACTTAGGAAGCCTGTCAGTCAGGCTGGCTTGTGGTCAATTATCTCCTTAAGTAGACTGGCATTAGTCCAGCCAGGGAGGAGGGCTGGCTACATCCATAGGAATCAGAGCCAGTTAGTTGGAAGTGGCACTGCGAACTCCAAGCATCTTTGCACTGCAGCATTTGAAATGCTGCTCAACACCTCTCCTAGGACTCAAAGGTGACGTTTGCCTGCTTGGCCCTAGCATAGACATACTCCAGAAGAGTATGGAAACAGAATGCCTTAAGAGAAGAGACAATGATCACCAAAGCCACTAAATCCCCTTAAATTCCACTCACCAACAAAATTGCCATTTCTGTTATGCACACCATTATAGAGGTTATTGCCAATTGTGGTGGGATTTGGCTCCTCCATTGGATAACAATTTTCATTCTTCACTGTACCTGACTATGAAATGGGCACAAGGATATTTTGGAAGCATGAGCAGGGCTCGGATGGTGTGGTCCAGGGGATTGGAAGTGGTATTGGTATTAATCAGACTGTGTGTATGTGATTCTGCAGGGAGGGGCGGGGAGGGAAGCGGGGGCCGGGGAGATTTGGTTTTAAGAATGGGAAATTAAAAAGCATGGTTTCAAAAGCCAGTAATGATCTTTTTGTAGGTGAAAAGGCAGAGCGGGGATCCAAAGAGAGGTGGGAAGTCCTTGAATTCCAGAGGGAAAAGAATTTCTTCGAGTCCAACATTCTCATTCTGCTCACTGAAAGTATTTTCATTAACTTTATCTTTCAAAGCTGAAATGCTACTTTATACCCTTTGGGGGAGATTGAAGAGATCTGCTTGGGATTTGAATTCAGTCTTAAACCATTGTTTAAATGGTATGAGTTTGGCAAAACTCCAGATGTACTCTGTCCCAAGCACTTTTCCTCCTTAACTATCCCATGTGTATTTTAAGGAAAATTCAAGCCACATGTTGCTCTTTTCCCCTTGCATTCAAATGTAGTTTTATTGAATTTTAGCATGGTCCATGAAATTCAAATTCTGAGTTTTAAGCCATAATATATTCATATGCTCTACATGCACTCACA